CCTTTGTCCCCAAACTCCTCACTCTTCCCACAGCCCCACCTCATTGTGTTGGCTTAGAGGTCTCTCATGAATGGAATAAGTTATTGCTCCAAAAGTGGACACTCAATACATATCAACCCCACTTTACAAACAAGGACTATTTTCTATCACCAAGTCTTATTGCTGAATCGAGTCCAATTTAAATGGATTTAAAAGAAAGCATGAAAATTATGTGGCAAAAATTCTACTTTGTCTATAGCAGTTCTAATAATCCTTTCTTATTCAGTTGAGAATTATAGTTAAAAATGTGTAAATCAGTTCAGCTTGGTAGCCATGTGTTTCAAGCAAGAAATAATTTAATTCATTATTGACTAACTTGTCTATGAGCTTCTAGCATTAACTTTCTTTCTAAAATCATCTAGAAAAGAACTGTAAAAATGAGTTTTTCCCTAAATATAAGAGCCCTGATTAGCTCACAGATGTTCTGATGGATCTCCTTAATTGAGCTAGGTTTGGGGGAATACTGTATTTTGATATGCTTATTTACCCAACAACCCCAATTGTTACCTGAAACTTACCTGAGACCACCTGTATTTGGTAATCATCTCATACAGATGCTTTTCTACAGAACAGGCAAGCAACCTAAGTAACCCAAGTTTCTGTTTTCAGAAGCTATTTAAAACATACTTTAATAGCAAAGAATATCAAAACGAGATGACATTTCCATTAACCTATATTTCATTTTTGAAGAAGCCTCAAGATTTTGCAAAATATCACGAACGGGAAAGGCAGTCTCTAAAAACCTCACTGTTCAAGCAGGCGCATTCATTTGCTCACTAACTTGGACTGTGGGCTCAGCTGCCTGCCAGACCCAGGCGCTGCCCCTAAGGAACACACAGGCTCATCAGGGAGCCAGAGTAACTGCTGGGGTGGACAGAGCAGAGAGCCCACCCTGAGTACACGATGGAGGGCAGAGGCCAGGCAAGCAGTTCTGGCAAGGGAGGAGGAAAGAACCAGATGTCAGAAAGGGCCCCTCGGGGAAGGCGAGTGAGCCCCAGGCCCAGGGAAGGACATCCACACAGAGGAACTGACTGACATGTCCTTGTAGCAGGCACCGACAGACATATTCCAGGTCCAGTTGGCTGGAGCGAGGGGGCACCAGGCGAAAGGGTAAAGAGGGCAGGGTCGGAGCATGCAGAAGACATTTGCCGTACTAAGAAGATCAGACTTGGACCCCAGCCACATTTCCACTTTAATTCCTTAGAGCTGCAACCTAAACACATAAAGATGTCTTCAACAGAACTATCATGAACAGTGCCTACTGTAAAGGGAATGCCTATTGTACATTTCATGTGTCTTGAACATTAAGCACCATTAGCTCCTTCTTTGGACTAAAAGCTGCATAAAGACAAAGATTATTTCCTCACCAAAGCACCGAAACCCATTCAAACCATCCAGTTATGGACCCACTAGAGATAAATAAACTCATTTCACTGCAAGGCATTTATTATTTAATTTCCTAGTGCTTGACTAGATATTGTGTCAAAAACACTATATAGATCTGTTCTCTAATCTCTGAAAGCTTGTAATTTAAGATATAACAGTTGTTATTATTCTTAATTTTCATAGCTGAAATGTCATTGCTTTGTGTGACAGATTGAGAACAAACTAATCAGAAAAAGGCCATAAAAGCTAATAACTAAAGGAAGTAAGCATAGTAAAGAAAATCAATGTAAAATTATCAGAAGGTTGTTAGTATGCATATTTCACTAAGTTGGGAAATCTATTCACCATCTGACACAGGACGGTGGAATTCACTAGTTGAGTCAGAAGAGCTCTCCTTTCATTGTCACGCAGACTGACAATATTTACAGTATTTACAGTATAAACACCACACTTCAACAGAAGCGCAATGGCAAAACATCTTCTGGGTACCTGACGGTGCACACGCTCGGATGGACGTGACTAAGCCAGGCCTGGAACCTGCACACTGAGCCTGTGGTCGGGGTGCTGTTGAGTCGGCCCGTGTCCCTCCGTAGGTCTGATGCCCCCTCTGAGGAATGAGATGCTCTAATGCTGACTGCTCCACCTACTGTGTTGGTCGCTGTGAATCTGATTCTCCCCACATTCCAATTTGAGGGGCCGTTCAATACCACTCGTCAACAGACGGTTGGAAAGGGCCCAGTCTCTGGTCTGCACTGTGCTGCCTCACACAGCTTCTCAAGCTGAGGAACACATCCTTGTGCAGATATGACAAGAGCATTGAAGTCAGGCCGTCAAGGGACGGCCGTTCTGCTGTGGTTTACTCAGTCATCAATAAGCTAAAACACTTTTACATTAAGATAACAAATGAACACATTATGGTGTATAATAGATTAAAAATTGCATCCATTTTTAGGCTAACATACACGGCTCCAAAGAAGCTGTTGTGCAGGTGGAAGCCAGCCCCAGAGATACGGAATGGCAAGCCCGTTCTGGGCCTAGGCCATTTTGGTGCAAACCCTGCGAAGCAACAGTGCCAGGGTTGAGCACAGACTTGGAAACCAGGCACAGCTGAGTCTGGATGCCTCCTCCCGTGAATTTCCCAAGACTGATCTTCACCAAGTCAGGTCTGACCTCACCTTAGTGTCCTCATCAAGCAGAAAGCTCCTTAATGAGAAAACCTACAAAGCATGTGGCACAGTTACTGTGGGGCCAGAGAGTGCTTTTCAAACCACATTAGGCCAGGTCATGCCCTGCGTGTAACTTCCCAGCAGCTTGCTTTTGCCCTTGGAATAGGCCTACGTGGTTCTAGTGTGGGTTTTAAACTTAGCAGTACACAGATCCCTCAGCAGTCTGCCAGGTCTTTCTCAGGACTGTGTATTAAAATTCCTGACATAAAATGTACTTGATTACAAGGGAAATCACTGATGTTGAAATATAGCTCAAATATAATTAAAACAACAAATTTACGCATGCTACAGTAATATGTGCTTCTCTATTAATGCAAACACAATGTGTGGCAAGTTCTAGAACTACAATAATTTTGAAGTAGTGATGGTCAAATACCATCTCAGGATATCTGTAACAAATTTGACTTGACATGAAAACATCTGTAATCTCTAGCTGTGAACATCACAGGTCTGCTGCTGCTTCTGAGGGTTTGTTTTCCCTTCTGCCTACATTCATGATGAAAGGAAATGCTGTTTCGTTTAGGTGTTAGTGGTGATAAAATACACTTTTATAAGATAAAACACATTTGTTCGCACCTGGGCTCATAGGGTCCTAGATCTGTGCATGCTCCCCCGGCCCATGAGTGCCAGTGAGGCAGTCCCCTCTGACCTCTGCTCCCACTCTCTGGCTGCACTGGCCGCTCGATGTTCAAGCACCCGCTATAGGCTCTAATTTAGTGCCTGCTTTTGTTCTTGTCTCTATCTGGAATCCTCTGCCTGGATCTGTATCTGGATGCTGCTTTCGATCCTGTTTATCTCAGCTTGAACGTGACCTCTTCCAGGAGGGCTTCCCTACCACTTCCCGGTGTCACAGTGCCCTGTCAGGTCTCCTGAATGTCCTTATCATTGTGAAACAGGACCCATCCGCTTCCCTCCCCTAAGTGTGAGCTCTGTGGAAGCGGGAAGCCCATCTCTACGTTCAGCACCGTCCCCAGCAACTGGAACAGTGTTGGGGCCACCGCACCTTTCTTGCTGAGATAAGGAAACAGCAAGGACTCCACGGATGTGACTTCTCTCCCTCATCCTTCTCTGCATCTCTGGCATGGTGGGACACACAGAGATACTCCTTGAGTGGAGGTCTAATGGGGCTGGGGGGACCCTGGGGACAGTGACATTTTACAGGCAGCTAGATTAGAGAGAAATTAATATATGATTAGAGAGGGACTGGGCACTCAGGGAAGTTGTTGCAAACACACAGACATCAGAATTGTGGCTGGAGGCGCAGCCGTTGAAGGCCAGGCCGCAAGAAGGAGGATAATCGGCAAGAGATTATACTGTAATCAGCACCACCTGGTCCAGGAAGTGCAGACGGTATCGGCCGCCCAGCTGGGTGACCAGAGCATCTGCACCCTTCCCTCCCCATGACGCCTTTGCTCTTTCCATGCACCCTGGCTGTGTGACCCGCTTCCCTGTGGGACCAATATTAGCTAAGCGGCTGTACTGGTCAGCCTACAGGCGGTGACTGTGCTGTATAAACAACCCACTTCCGGGACCCCTCCTGTCTCTCAGGAGCTCTCAATAAAATAAGCCTTTCCTACTCTTAACCTTCTTTGTCCTTTGGAATTCATTCTTCGATTTCAGGGGACACGATCTCAGCATACTTGACGTCTAGCAGGTTGGGAGTTGTATTTTTCCCTGTGGCAGTATGAGAACGATTCCCACCCAGCCCCATGACCATGGGCAAATCACTTTTGGGAGCTAGATGATGGGTTGCAGAGCTCGGTCACTAACAGCCAACAGTACTGGACAGGTAGCACCTTGGCGAGACAGGGATGCTGGCTGTCAGTGCAGGAAGCTCCACAGACTGGTAAGGCCTCTGAGAGGCCACTAGTCGCCAGCGAAGGAGGCAGGACTTTCCAGGGTTGTGGACTCTCCTGCTGAAGGACAGATGGACCACCAGGTGATGTGCTGGTTCTCCATGGGTGGCTGTTCCTGGAGAGGCGATGTAACACCTCAGTTATCAGGAGCAACCTCTTGTGCTGCAGGAGAGCACGAACCACAGTGTGGTACTACCCGGGCTCAAATCCAGGTCTGGGGCTTACTTGCTCTGTGGACTTAGCCAAAGTACTTCTCTTTTTCTCAACTTCACCTCTATTAAATGGAATCATGACAGAATCAAGTGACGAATGTAGGTGCTTAACAGACACTGGGTAAATGCAATTTGTGATTCTGCTACACAGTTCACTGGCGCAGCAAGCTTGCTAGCATCCTTCAGATGCTTCCTTCTTCCACTGTAATTGAGTTTTACCAGCTTGTGATTACGTTATCTAGCTCAGAGTTTTGGTGAGTCAACTTTTAATTTGATCTTACCTTTTCCTTGACGTTCACATGAGTATTGAGTTCAGCCATCGCGCTTCTAGTGGAATAAGCCCTATAAAGAGAGGGGGAAGAGACGAAGGTTTTAAAACTGATTCCTCAATGTGTTATTTTTATGCTCTCTTCCAATACAGTAAACAATTTGATTCAGTCATAATCCCAAACACTACTTTAGAATGTAAAAATATTTTCAAGTGAAGCATTTGACTTAGATGTGTTCTAAAAGTACATTATGGTAACTCTAATGACAATGCAAAATCTTTCATTCATATTGTATTGACATGAAGACTGACAACAGATGGGAGTGCACCCAAACTGTATTTCTTCTCATTATGTAAAAAAAGGAAGGTGGTCAAATCAGCCAGAGGAGAGGAACTGTACTTTAGCTAGACAGATTCATCATGATCCTCATTATACCAAAGCTTTTCTCAGCCCCTGGGTGACTGCTCAAACACAGTATTTCCCGCAGGTGCATAACCACAAGCACTACCAAGAGACAGGAGAAAGGGCTCCAGGTAAAGCTTAAGCACATTTTTCTCTTTTTCCATCTCTGAGGAACACTCTCGCCTCAGATCTTAGCAGGGAGGTTTCTTTGCTGGGATCTCTATCTCAGCAGGGGTCACCTCTCCTCATAGAGGGCTTCCCCAGTGCGCTAGAGCTGCCACCTCCCCCTCACTCTCCCAGGATGTATCAGCTTTAAACTTGCTCTTCCCTTAGAGCAGTATCCGGGTCGGCGCTGACCCCCAGCTTCTGAGGGGCCTAAGCATTGCCAGGATCTGCTTCCCTGAAGTCCTCTCCCTTTCTGTCTTTGGTGCCCAGTCTGTGAGCGGCCTGCTCTGAGACTCAGATCTACACTTACAACATCAAGCTGTGATGCTTTCGATTCTCTCAGCTGGTCAGGATCTCTCACCATTACTATGGAAAGTAGACCTTACATCTCTAATAGTTTTAATATTTTTGAAACAGAGAATAAATTACTTAAATGCATGAACAAACCAATTCAGAAATCAGCAGCTACTCGGGTCATGGTATCAATATATACTACTCATTTGCATGCTGAATGCTTTTTGTCAACCAAGAATCCTGGAAACATTTCCTTACATTCTTTCTGACTTTTGTGGTCAAGTGTTCCTTTCTCCAGAGATGACATATTAGGGGATAACTTACAAATTCTCTGATTTCTCCCCCACTATTGCCTTTTAAACCCGTGCTTAAATAAAGCCTAAATCCAGATCCATTACCTTTTGCTAATTTGAGGATGAAAGCGTCACATTATGCAGTGTTAACACTAGTATCAGTTCAATTATCCTCACATGGGGATTCACATAGAATATTACCAAATATTGGAAGCAGTAAGATTTTATTTTTAGAAGTTTCCAAATGGCCCCAGAGCCAACCTACTGGGTGCACTAGCAGGACAGATGCTACCTACTTGTTCCCACTAAGGGGACTCTTTCCTGTGTGCTCTGCCGAGTGTCCCTGTCCTTGAGAACAGCTCCCATTTCTTCTAATCGGCATTGTCTATATTCTCTGACGTGCCGTATGGGAGAAAGTAAAATAATACCTAAATTCTATTCATAGGTGCTTTCCCCATGAAAGCTACTAGTAAAAGACCAGGTTATTTTACAGTTGGCTTCAACAGAGAACAGAGATGGTGTACGAGGCACAACAACAAATAATTGGGTGTTTCTGCTATAACCTGTGGATGAGAAGGGAAGCCCTTGGCCCTCACGTGACTGCAAGATGGTCTGTAGTCACATCTCATGGCTTTGTGTGGTTGATTTTTTTATTCAAATTAAAGTTGGGGACTATGTAAACACATGATTTACACAATGCATTTTCCAGGGTGTGGTGTGTGTGGGGGTGAACCTCTGTGACCACAGGAACTGAATGTGACTGCTGGCCTGGTGCCAAGAGCCGGGCCAGGCCCGTGAGCCATAAAGTTTCCCCTGGGGTACCCAGGCTGACCTTTCTGGACACGTTATGCTGCCATTAGAGGTATGTAAAATCTGATAGGAAAAATTCTGTTTTGCATTTGTATTTGAGCAATGATGTGTGGATCTGGGTGTGCAATACCTTCTAAAGCTGAAGTATTGTAATCCACCGAGGAAGGAACCAGTGAGGATTCCATCCACTGAGGAGTATTTCTGAGGTCTGAGGTGGCACTGGACGGTAAGCTACATCCGTAAGACAAAACGTATATGCCCACTCACACACATATCCTGGGCACCTCCCTACCTCTTTGACCTCAAAGTCTAACACACAGAAGACTCTTCTCTGGTACTGATGCCAACACGATTAGTCCTAATGTTATTTTTTGTGGCAGGAAAATGTTGGTCATGAAGATAGAATGGGGCTATTACAGGTTTCTCAGATGTAAGGATAAGGTAAATATAATTGCAGAGAGATGTTCTTTTCCATTTTATGCTCTGAATTTCCCCCCAGCCCAATATGTAAGGTGGTCTCTGTGGGCTCTACCTTCCAGGTCGATCATAGTACCTTTTCCAAATCACGGCTTTCTGAAACCAGTGTATAGCAGAGGCTGGAAAGCTGGTTACAGCTTCAGTTATGAAAACTAATTAAAAGTTTTAATCAAAACGGACTGTAAATTTGATTTGCCTTTTATTGACCAATTTGGGTTCTACTCATAAGGACACCTGCCATGGAAAATATGGGACAGGAAGTGACCAGCAGAGTTCCCTGAAGTCCCTCACTGAGCCTTGGCACCCTCCACTTGGTCCTGGTCTCTCCAGAAGGTTCAGGCCACATCTTGTTCCTGTATGGCAGCACATGCTATTACCTCCTGCAGCAGACTCCTTTCTCCCCATGACAAACACAAAACTGTGCGGTACCCTAAGCTTTGAGGCTGTTTTCTCTAATGAACCACACCTTGCCAGTCAATTCCACTTAACCTGAATCTTAATGTTTTCCTCTAGGTAGTTAAGAAACTTTCTCCAGGAAACACGTTTGTATCTCTTCCCACGTGACCAGACCAGGCCCAGCAATGTGAAGCCAGGCCTTCAAGCTGCAGATACCTGGGCAAGCCCAAGAAGCCTCTAATGCTGTCATTTTAACGTCTGTGGCAGGTGACAGGTGTTTGCGGTCAGCAGACCTCCCCAATTTCCTCAATCAAGCTTGGCCACGACACTTGGTACTGTGCTGTTGCCAGACCTGACCACTGCTCATTCCTGAACATCCCTCAGTCACAAGAGCCTCAAATCTACAGAACAGCACAGGGATCTCTGACTTCTTGGGAAGAAACTTAGTTTCAAATGTTTACTATCAGCTGAGGTCACTCTTGGAAAGTCAGTTACTGAGGACTAAGCACAGTCACGGTCAAGGACAGGCTGCCTATATGGTGGCACATACTGTATGGTCCAGGGGTGTCGTGGACCCTGCCACCTAAGTGTGTGTAAGTGTACTGTGCTCTGTGATATCAGGCAACAAACTGACCTCAGGATGCTTTCTTGGCATGTATCCATGACGAGTGACACAGACGTACTCCAATCTACAGATACACCCTCTAGGCAAATCAATTAATCAATACACATATACCCAGAAATATAAGTGAAGTACAATATTTCAAAGACTTTGATATTGCTTTAAGATTTTTTTACTTAAATTTGTATTTAGATTTCAGTAATAGCATTACAAATACATGTGGGTATCATATATTTTAGAGGAAAACAAAGATAAAGACAATTATTAAAACTTATGAGCAAAAGACATCATAAAGCGATCACTGTACTAATCACCTCTATACTTCCCCAGAATAAAATTAATAAAAGACAAATATGGTTATCACTAATCTCTTAAACCACAAAGACATATCAAACTGAACTCATTTAACAAAGATTTTCCTTATTTTGCATCAATATTTGTTAAAAAACCTTCTAGCTTATAAACACAGGTAAATACGTTTTATGAAAATAAACCCGAATAGTAGAAATTCTGATAAGCATGTTTGTTTCAGCATTAGTAGAGCTAATTGGTACAGCTCAAGAAGTTTAGCAAGTCTGTGAATCTGCTCGGTCATCAACCTCCAAGCTTTAAATCACGTATTTGCACGTCTTATGCAATCACAGCCTGAAAAGCAGACCAGGGTGTCGAAATGCCAACTGGTCCTATGTCTTCCCCACTGGCCCCTCCTTTTACTGAGGAGGCAGTAATAGCTTCACTTTCCTTTCTCTGAAACCTATTGCTGTTAGATTCACTTTTCTGTTCTCAGGTATTGATTACATCACTCTGCTTGAGCTGAATTTGGGGAGCCAAAGGAAAGACAAAAGAAAAAAATTTAATGATTTCAACAATTTTGGGGGGCCATTTATGCAAACATTTCCCCAAGATTTGTAAAAATATAAAAATCATACTGCATATTTGGGGTTAACAGATTACTTAATAAATCATCATCATGTGACCTGAGAAATGAGTGCCGTAACTTACAGCTTAGAGAAGGACAATGACCAAGCTGGATTTGTCTTTTTTTTTAATCATCACAATCAACTGAAGAGCTCTGAAAAAATTTCTGGGCCCCCATGCCGCTTGGGGTGTGTGTGTGTGTGTGTGTGTGTGTAGCAATGGAAAACAGCAGCACCCCAGGTCATTTTTGTGTAAAACTACCCTGAGCCAGAGTAAGCACTGGATTTTATGGGGTCAGTACGAATAAAAGAAGTTACACTCATTACTACTGTTTTAGACTGATTGTATGTGGAAATGATGGTATGGAGAGATCAGGTCAAACAGAATACGGCCCTGAAGTTAATCTCACTCATCTCACGTCACTGTTCACACACGATTGCTAGAAACCGCACCACGGCAGGTCAGCTCTGAGACATCTGGACTGGACAGTGCTGCCCGGAGCAGGCCCCTGAGCAGTGGCCTTAGCACCTCCTGGACCTCCTAGAAACGCCAGGGCCTGCCTGTCAGGAGCGATGGGTGTAGCCGTAGGGTCCACCAGCTGTGCATGGTACAAGACACGTTTGCTAAAATTGGGAACCCAGAGACAGCCCTGTCCCTGTACACAGCAGACAGACAAGACTCCTCAGAAGCCAGGGAGGGCCAATGGGTCAGCTTCTGACGGTCCCCTCGCCGGCCTGTTATGAGAGTAATCAGCACTTGTGAGGAACAGAGTGTGCGGTACTCTGCCGGAGGCCTCGGCATGCATCTTTTCATTTTACCCTCACAATCTGATGAAGAAGATACTAGGACTGACCCCATTTTCTTCGTGTCAAAACTGAGGAGAGAGACTGAGTAATAGCTCCAGGTCCCCAGAAGCCCGGGAAGGCTGTCTTAAAGCCTGTGCCACTGTGCGCATGGCAGAACCATTGTGGCTGGGTCCTGGATCGCTCGTGTTCTGGGGACACAGCGAGCGTACCAAGTGCCTGCCTTCACACCCACCAGGCTGGCTTGTTATGCCCTCGTGCAGGGCACAGGAACTGCAGAGCAGACTCCGCAGAGAGGGCAGGGAGGTCCATGGTCTAAAGAGACAGCTGCTTCCTGCACTTTCTGCCCTAGGGTCAGAGTGCAGAGGGCTGTACTTAGTAGGAGACTTCCCCAGCTCCATGACATTGCAGGGTCCAGCGCTTAACTGCTTCTTCATTATCAATTAATTAAAACGTCCATGCGTTTGACTTTGGCACAGCCTGGACAACACCACGATTAGACAGATCCTGAGATCTGCCTCAAATGGGCAGCGTGAGGACCAGCTGTGCAGGAAGGCGGTGATGGGACGTGATGAGATGTGAGAAGCAGCAAAGAGCCTCTCAGGCAAAGCAGCATCCAACTGTCCCCAGAGCACGACACTTCAGAGACACATGCCGGACTACTCAGTTCAGGGCAGACCTCTGGAAGAAGCAGCAAGATCACAGACCAAGTTGCTTCATTCTCCTGCAGCCCTCAGGTGGTCCTTGGCAGGAAGCAGTGCCTGAGAGAATGGGCAGAGGAGAAGGTAGGCTTGGGTGGGGCTGGGAAGGCAGCACATCCTATCTGCACCCAGGATAACAAGGCACCCTGTGGCTGCAGATGGGCGGGGAGCGGTGGGAGACATCGCCTGTCTAGGACACCGAGTGCTGATGGGGACACTTGGCTGCCCCAGGAAAACTCACTGTGAAACCAAACAACCGACTAATCAGATACGGGTGATGCGTCTAGAGCACTGGGGCGCTTTCTGTGTAGTGCACATGTACACCTGGCCCCTCAGTGCCGTCAAAGACCTGCAGGTCGGTGAAGCAGAAGCAGGGCTCCTGCTGTGCAGCGGGGACGGCGTCTACAGGTGGTGTCCGGTAGCTTCCAGCTGCTTAGCTCCTCTTCTCTCCTCCCCTCCCCTCAGCCACTCCTCACCGGGCCTTGGACTCACTCTCTTCTGTGCTGAGAGCCTTAGCTTCTTCCCACAGCTTAATTCCCGTAGTTTAATAAAAGTCCTTGTACAGTGCCTCGTTCCTTAGAGGAAAGTCTCCTTAATTATTAAGAATGAGGACACATAAACAATGAAACAGAGTGGTGACTTTAATATGAATTTCATATGAAAATACTTAAGACTTTTTGGTTGTTCAATTTGGGAAAAAAAAATCTCAAGGTTGCATCTTTATTCAGACGCTTCAATGTACTCAACCCACTGTTAGAACAACTTCACTGAATGTCATTTTAAGGGCAAATGTCAGAAAAAAACTTCACTTGTAAAAGCTCTGGTTCAGCCTCTTCTGAAAAGCAGGGTTAGCCTTTGGTTTAGCAATGTCGCTGTGTACTAAATTCTTTGTGGGGGCTAGAAATAAAATTGAGTGTTTTATTGAAACAGGCCATTAACAGTCATACTTATTCGAAAAGGCCTGCTTCAGGAGGCAGATAAGGCTTCCAGTCACTCAGAAGATGCTCAGCGGTGCGGAGGTGGGATGTGGGGCCACCAGTCTCAGACCTTTCTGGCGGAAGTCTCTCCTCAGCAGCTGGGGTACCAAGCACACTTTATGGCAGGCTCATCTTTGAATTTTCCATCTCAGTACTGGCAAGTGCTTATGAATGAAGATTAACCACTTTTGCATAAAGTGCCAAACCGCCTCCCCACAGCAGCAGAATGCAAATGGGAGCAAAAGAGCAAAGGACAGCGAAAATGAATGCAGCAGATCTCAGGCGGTGCGAGCTCAGGGAGGACGCCTGGCAGGCTTTATTTGCATTCATCTCTGGCATGAATTTTCTATTTAATTTGAAATTATTTGATTTGCTAGGTCTCTTACGGCTTGAGAATATAAATAAATGCCTTTTCTAAAAGTGATTTGACACTGGCTCCTATAAAGACCTGCTTTGATTGCCAGGTTTTAAAGCAAACATGTGTTTCCATAGTGATTCAGTGACCTGGACCTGGGACAAGCGCCCACTTGTACCAGCAATTCAATTATGCGCACTTCTTTCAAGATGCAGTGATGGAAGCTCGCGTCTTTAAAAGCCACCTCTCCTCAGAGATGCCTCAGGAAGGTGAGGCGGCTGGGTTGTAGGAAGCGGAGGTCAGAAGAAGAGACACACCCCAGCGGCGCTTTCCCCACAGGTCACCCTGCTTTGCCTCTGCCCCCACGAATCCCAAATCTCAGAGGGGTTCAGACGACAGATCTTCACACAGCCCTTCGGCCCTCAGAGCACCGAACACCTCACTGCAAAGCACAGACGCTGAGAAGGAAACAGCTCGCCTTTCTCTTCTTTGTCTCCTTTCCCCATCTCTTCCACTAGTCCTGGCTGATTTGTAGAGCAGGCAGTGCTTTGCCTTACTATCTGACACACACCCATTCAGCACTGACAATGCCGGCTCCGTGGGGATGCTGGTCGGCGTGGAAGCACAGCGGAGCTCCTACTGTCCACCTAGCACTTCCCTGAGCACTCTCCGTGTATTTCCACACGTCATGGCTTCCGGTTCTCGGGCCAGCCCTGGGGAGCATGGATTTGTGTTCTTCCGTTCCCATTTCATACAAGAAGAAGCCAAAGCACAGAGAGGAAGGGGCACACATGTCACACAGCGGTGAAGCAGCTGCACTGAGACCAGAACTCAAATTCGCTTGGCTCCAAGCTCTGGCACCCAAGCAGCTTACAGATTGGCGACGGAGACAGACATGTTCACAGAAACACAAAAAGAGCCAGACAGGGAGGTGAGGAGGAACTCGAGTAGTGGACCAAGGGAGTCAGGATTGGAACTGGCCAGGCTCTGGGGAGCAGCACTGTGGCCTGTCCTGCAGAAGGTCTCAGCCCAGGGAGGGCTCGAGGTCGGCAGGCTTGCAGTGAGAGGGGTGGGTGCTTGTCAGACTTTTTATGCTACTTCTCAGGACAACACTGCACAGCCATCTCCTAAGAAAACAGCTTGTAGTTCTGCAATGTAACCCTGGGCTGTCCAAGAGAGCTCCTGCCTAAACCTGGCGAAGGAAACCTCTAGTCTGTAGCTCACTCTGGGAGGCTGGCTCCTCTGTCACTGGATAAACACCTGCCTGGGGAACCCACCACCTCTTCAGAGACTATTCCAGCTTCAACCACACCACAGTAGCTCCTCTCCTTCAGTCCATCCTGTTAGTAAACATTTGATGACTTTCTCAAAGTAGCAGAGAAAGTCAGGTTCTTCCTCCTTCCTGGGAATGTCTCAGGTAATGGCTGACAACCACGAGCACCAATTGTGCTGACTGCTCTGATTGCACTGGCAAAGGTGGGAAGAAACACAGGGAGGTGAGGGAGAGGGCCAGGGCCTGGACCCCGACAGGAGAGGATCAGCCTGCTCTCACCTCTACCTACTCCCTCTGGGTCCCCAGGCTTCCCAGCAGCAAGCTCCACTCACTGTGCTGGTTTCCTGGTGTCTCAAGCTGACGCTCTCAGGGAAGTCCCCAGCTGCTGGCTTCCTCTGGACATAGAGAAGCCCTGCTCCCCAACTGGCCACCTTTATCAACTCCGGGTCATCTGAGGAGTGACGCAGGTGGAGACAGAAACCCGGTTGTGGCAGGACCTTGGGCGTGGCTGAGTAATCAGTGAGCTGGTGGCTTCAGCCATCTGAGGCTGGAGGCCTCACCTTTGGAGAGACTGACTGCTTCCTTCTGTACAGCTCAAGGTTTGCCTTCAGGCTGGCGTCAGCGATCACTCAGCTCTCTGTGCTTCTAACTGGGCCAGGGGCAGCTGTACCACAGCACCTGCAGCCTTTACTCAGAGCAGCCCACAGGTACAGACACCACAGGCCAGGACAGTGCTGTCATGCCAAAGGTCAGTTTTTGGTGTGGCCGCCTGCTAAGGGCTCCACAGCTTCAGGGCGGTACCAGCATGAGCACATTCGTCAGTCAGCAAATGTTGCCAGCACACTCCCCTGAACTGCTCCCCCTGCTCTAGAACCTGTTCCTGGTTCTGGACCCAAGTAGAAGTTCTGCTGGCTGACTGTGCAGCCAATGTAAAACCTGTGAACCATGTTCAGGGTGAGCATCCTGTTGGGGTCACTCTGGCGTAGGCATCCTCAGTGGGGGAAGGGTGCTGTGAGGGACCCACGCGGGGGCACAGTGGAGCAGCCTGCTTTACCTACAAAAGCAAGTCCTACATCTACTGCCTCTGCTCCTTTGATCTTCTAGGAAACCTAACGTCAGACTCACTCTGAATGCAGCTGAATGCTAAGGGCCTCTGTGACCACCGCAGGGTGGAGAAGACACTGCCTGTTTTCTGCCATGCACATTAAGATACAAAATACATAATTACACTTGCACAAGATGGAATCCCAGCTCTGCCTCGTAACCAGGCTTGGGATCTAAGCAGGTTACTCTCCATGTCTCTACTTCCTCACTGGTGACTCGGGCATAAGAATAGTAACTTCCTTGGGGGGTGGAAGTGCAAACGAAATGCACTCCCATTTGTACAGTGATTACAGCAAGTACAACAAACACACTATAAAAGGATATAAATAGTCCCTGCGGTCTGTGCCATGTTCTGCTGTCCTCACTTTACAGGTGAGTCTGGGGCCGAGCTGGTCAGGGTTAGGGTTGAACCAGCGATGAAGTCGCCTTGCAAAGCAACTGTTACCCGAGCTGCCCTCCTGTGGTCACACCTTCCCTCGCTGCCACTGAGGGAGAGGTTGGGGTGGCCCCAAGAGAATGGGGTCAACTGCAAAAGCCAACCCACCACCCACTGAAAGCCAGGCTCTGCTTTCTGCCCTGCTGACAGATGTGAGCCTTGCTTACCAAGTTCAGACCAAAACGCTTATCTCCAGAGAACAATAAACAGTGTCACACAGAAGGATAAAGTCCAAGGCAAGTCCTAGAGCTAGTGAAGAGACCATCTGACGTGTACTAGGCCTCCTTCCATGCATTCCTAGTTTAGGTAATTGTGTCAAAGGGGATAAAATAATTCATATAATTTTAATATCCTTGGAGTTTATTCTAATGTAATCACAGATAATAAAAACTTATTTTTGGGTTGGGGATTTAGCTCAGTGGCATAGCGCCTGCCTGAAAGGGCAAGGTTGTGATTTCGATCCCTGGTATCAAAAAACAAAAACAAAAAAGCCTCATTTTGATCGTTTTTAGTGTGTTCAAAATTCTAGAGGTCATATTTACTATTTAGCAATTTTTCTGTTTCCTACTGTAACAAAAATAGAAATTTGTCACTTGAAATGTTTAATGGAAAAATTAGTAAATATTTTTTAAAAGAACTTCAAATATACAGATCTTTACAGATTTAATGAATTATACAAATAATCCTTTCCTCTTAAAGAGGTTGCTCTGATAAACTCCATTTTGTCTTCTTTCCAAAGTACAGAGTACAATGCTCCTGATAAGCTAAGTGTTCCACAAAGACAAGTACAGAAAGAGGAATAAATGTCTTCTCCTTTTGTTTTTCCTTGCTTGGTTGCAACAAGTTTTTAATAATTTATTTCCGAGTGTTCAACACCTTGTGCTGTTATCTCTTTCAGTGCCACTATCAGAACCAGCACTGTCAAACGCTGTCCTAGCCACATGACTTTGTACACCTTGGAATGGACAGGAAGTGGCCCTGTCCCTGCCCCACCTGACACTGTCATATCAGAGTCAAAGCTGAGCCACAAGCCTCATCTCCCTCCACATGGTCCCTGCCAGGCCCCATGTGCCCAACCTCAACAACGCAGCTTCCCCAGCAGCTCCCACGTACTTTTGCTTCTTAGCACACAGTCTACACCGAGAGCCAAATCACCAGTTAAGTCTTCTAGTTCCTCTTCAACAAAGCCTCCACTGCCCAGAAAAGAAAGACTGAAGTTTACCTTTTCTATGGAATATGAAAAAAGGAAAAATTTCATCCAATGCAAACACGTGACCACCAACCTCATCATTACAAATGTATGTAACTCCAGCGCAGAGATCAATGTTGGCTGCTCTTGACCCTCTACATGGACTCTCGGGGCTCTGAAAACCTTCCTGTGGCCTGCCTCGTCTACCCCATTAACTTCAAGAGCAGGTATCATGTCCCACTACTTTGTACTGCCCTATGGCTCAACTCACACCAGGGAAATTCAGAAAGTACCACATGCTTATGAGGGCCTATCAGCCTTAGAAATATGTAATTTCTTCCAAATCATTTTTCTGAAGATTGAATCAGAGCAGTTTGTACAGTAGCTCAAACATCATACAGGCCACACAACTAAATATAATACCATGTATTATTTCCCACTGGAAGACTTTCTATTAGTCATCCAATCTACCGTAAAGCAATTTGGAGGTGTGAATGTGTCAGGTCTTGATCAGGTGTTTGATGAAATAGATCTAACTCTTACAGTCTTGATTCCATTTGTACCCATTCCTGGCAGATTTACAGCTACAAGCAAACAGAGTTGTCTGGGTTTACCTAATGCTAACGATTTCATTATCCGGGTGTGTGATATACTTTCAGAGAGTGCAACCTGTGGGCCCAACACTGTCTGTAGAGGGTGGGTGTGTGGGTGTGTGTCCCCAGGGGAACCAGGGGAACGCTCTGAAGGTTATTCAGTGGGACATGCAGCTGCTGTACCAAGAGAAACAGGAACGCAACAGAATAACCAATAAATCATTCTGACTCCAACTGCTCCACAAGTGAGATGGCTTTAGTTTCCAAGGGCTTAACCAAAGAGGATTTCTGGGAGGAGGTGCCCTTTGTACTGGACACGATGAGAATGGCAGTTCAGGTAGAGGAAGAGTAAAAGTGAAGCCTCTTTGAGAGAAGCAAACATGCTCAGGGCCTAGATATCAAGGAAGAATTTACCAGGGCCCCACACACTGTCCCTATCAGGTGCAGTGTGTTCTGTGCACTTAGTGCAGTACAGTGTTAATGTGGCCCTAGCAGGGAGGCAAGACCGCAGGCAGGGAGCAGTTCACGGCACCCCAAGGCAGGCTGGGAGAAGGCGCTGATGACGTGGTCTCTGCTACACCCTCAGCCAGCTGGCAAGGCAGGCCCAGGGAAGGCTTTGTCTCATTTTTTTTTTTTTTAAGCTAACAGGAAAGCTTCTTCTCATTCTCACCCTGCTTATTTTTCCCTCTTGGCCTTGCCCACAGCATTTCCAGGTACGAAGTTCTGAATCTAAACCTTATTCATTGTCTCTATTACCCGTGAAAAGCTGAATTGAAAACTGGATTTCAATTTGATGGACTTCAATTTGATGTAACTTGACTTTTGTCCCTGGAGTTTTACAAAAATATATATTTAATCTAATATTAAAGGGTTCTAAAAACAAATAAAAGCTGTATAGCTGAGTTTCACACAGGTCCAGGAAAGCAACTCCTAAACTAAACTTAGGGTTTCATTTGATTTTTTACTTGGTTTTATACTTGGAAAGTGACCAACACTATTATGTAATCTACCAAGCTTGGTCTTGACAAAGACATAACTGGACACTGAAAATCTTGTTTTACTAAACACTTCTCTAGAAAATATGAGGAAGTAGTAGAGATGGAAAATGTCTTCAAATATTAATCTGTGTGCATATCTACTTCTGAATGACTACTAGCCAGATGTAACTGGATTTCACTTCTCATTTCAAGCTTTCAAATGATATTGACTAGACAGTGGAGATCATGCCAGATGCTTCATAGAGAACACGGGGTCAGGGATAAGGAAAGACAATCTCAACACACACAGTGGATGCAGCATCCGTCGGTGTCTGATAGGTCCTATGGCCATGTGCATGATGGGAAAAATAATTTGACCAAGCTCTCCTCCTCTTCAACCCTCGGGACAACAAGCCACTTGTTTTACCGCGGCCTCTGGTGTCTGGCAGCTGTCACACCTGTGCAGTCATTTACTCCTTCACTGTTCCTCTGCGTACCTGCTCCACACCAGGCTCTGTGCTGGGGGCTGGGCAAAGAAAGGTGAGCAAAACACTCAGACACACAGGCAGCGCACTGGGTAGATCCCGTCCTCGTCCACTGCAGGTATCTTCAAGGCTCCAGCCAGGCAGCACCACTATCTGCTTTGTGGAGAGGTAGCCACAGCCTGCATCTTAAGGCTGAGATCCTGCAGCCAGGTGCAGCCAGGTGGGAAATGAATCGATCCCCTGCCACTTCTTCCACAAGTCTGGTGCCACTGCTTTGATTCATGCATGTAAATGGAATCATTCAAGAATTACCTGGTGAGTTCATTACCACGGAGACGTCTTAGTATTTAAAAGAGCTAGATTCTTAAGACACCAAAGGAAGCAGGAAAATTATCAATGGGAAAAAGCAATATTTTCTTGTTGCTCCAAGATTTGCTCTCTACTTCTCAGAGAAAAATCACTGTGAAACACATTGCCCAAGCCATTTCCACGCACTTCCTCACTGTTTCCTGAGCCTGCTGTCTTCCATGATCCCTCTTTCTTCTCACTGCATCTTGAGATTCTAAAAGGCAGAAGCTGTATGGTGCAGCAGTGATCTAGACATAGAGGCCTCTGGGCAGAACTGGATGGCCATTGGGTGCTGTGTCAGCGAGGGGATAGACGCACAGTCAGGAAGGTGAGGGCGCTAAGTGCCAGCAGGAGCAGCAATGTCCTCGTGCTGTCTTTCCTCCATCTTTTCCCTAGGTTTCCTATGAGTACTCTTAGACTTACTGCTTCCTTTTCTGAGTGCTCTGTTTTCAGAATAAACTCCAGAATTGTGCTGGAATTTTATTTTTTTTTTCTTTTTGTCTAGGCTTTGGGGCTTCACTCTGAAATCTCCCTAAGACGGGGAACTATA